TCTCCTGGACTCTGTGTTTTATTTTCATGCCATCCAGGCTGCTTTTATTATCACAGTGTCCTCTAGAGTCTGACATGAGATGAGACCTGAAGCTCCCCATGGGCACAAAGACACTTTTGTCCCCAAAGCGGAGCGTGTAAGAAGAAGATCCCAATGTCCTCCCACTCCCACCTAGAATATTTTCTGCATCCTACGGGCTTTAAATTCCTTCTGTTTGGGTTGAAAGCCTTAAAATAAAGAAAGGACAGGCTTGAAAAATCCCAACACTGCTTTTAGTGCTTCTTTCCTGACTTTATTCAGAATTTTTGGTGTTTCAATGATGGTTATTTTAGCTACCCACCACCACGGCCATTTTTGATCCCTTCCCTGTTCATTTCTGGGTTTCCTTTACAACCCCAAAATCAGACCCCATAATTCCACCTTCCCACCCTCTAACACCTGTCCCATCTCAGTTCAGAATTTGGCACAAGGAACAGGTAAATGCCACAATCAAAGGTGACAAAAACCATCCCAAACTCTCCCAACCCAGCGGCACTCATGTGGGGGCCAGGCGTGATGGGCAATTCATATTTTTACGGAGTAACAAAAGGGAGGTCAGGACATTAATCTGCTCCAAAAACAAATACAGGAATGCCAAGGGGGGGGGGGGGGAATAGTAATAATTAATCCAGTGCTCAGGGCACTGAGCCATCAGGACACTGCCATTTCCAGAGAAACCCAATTAAGCCTATAAAAGACCCCTGCTCCCCATTTCTCCTCCACGTGGCGTGATGGGCAATTCATATTTTTACAGCGTAACAAAAGGGAGGTCAGGACATTAATCTGTTCCAAAGAAAAATAAAGGAACGGTGGCAGCGGCGGGGGGGGGGAGGTGTGGGAATAGTAATAATTAATCCAGTTCTTAGGGCACTGAGCCATCAGGTCACTGCACTTTCCAGAGAAACCCAATTAAGACTATAAAAGACCCCGCTCCCCATTTCTCCTCAGCCTCTCAGCTCCTCTGCATCTCAGCTTCTCAGCGTTGCCTCTTGAGCTCCTTCTGATCCTGGTGAGTCCAGATCCATTCGATTTTTATTCTCCTAATGTTCTCCAGCGTCCCCATAGTCCTGAGATCTTGGGCACTTCTCTTCCATGTCCTATCTTCATCTCAGTCCTCCTGCTGAGTTGGAAAAGGTAAAAATTCCTGGCTCGGGTGGCCAAGGGCTCTTCATGTCTTGCTTTGAAGTCTGTCCACCTCTTCTCTTCTCTTTTCACTTCTCTCTGATGTACAAGACCTAGGCTCATGCAAGGGGGCCACCACAGGCC